GAAATACCTAACACAATGCCTAATACTGAAAACAATGAATGAACGTATTCAAAATTTGTTTGCAAGAAATGAGACTTTTTGTTTTTTCAGGACAAAAAAAGGGCACTTAAATTTAATTTAGTTTACTGGGAGATACAGCAGGCAGCACATGGTGGTTATGAGATTCACAGGGCTTCCCTGCTATTGAGTCTTGATCTGTCTCAGCAAAACCCGAAGTTTGCCAAAACCTGGAAACAACTCAAATGTCTATCAATAGTAGAATGAATAAATGAATTATGGTATTTCATTCAATATAACATGAATGAAAATGAATGAGATGAAATGAAAATAAATTATGTAAAAGTACCTGTAACAACAAAGATGAATCCTACAACAATATGAAATGAAAGAAGCCAGACACACACTCAAAAATGCATGTTGTATGATCCTATTGATATAAAGTTCAAAGGTAGGTGACATTAATCTGAGAAGCTGGAAGAATGGTTTCTTTTTTTAAATTTTTTTATTGCATTTTAGGTTTTGGGGTACATGTGAAGAACATGCAAGATAGGTACACACATGGTGGTGTGATTTGCTGCCTTCCTGCCCATCACCTATATCTGGCATTTCTCCCCATGCTATCTCTCCCCAACTCCCCACCCCCCGTCCCTCCCTGTTTCCCCCCGACAGACCCCAGTGTGTAGTGCTCCCCTCCCTGTGTCCATGTGTTCTCATTGTTCAACACCTGCCTATGAGTGAGAACATGCGGTGTTTGATTTTCTGCTCTTGTGTCAGTTTGCTGAGAATGATTGTTTCCAGATTCATCCATGCCCCTACAAAGGACACAAATTCATCGTTTTTGATGGTTGCATAATATTCCATGATGTATTGGTGCCACATTTTCCCTGTGCAGTCTATCATCAATGGGCATTTGGGTGGAAGAATGGTTTCTGTCAAGAAGGAGTAGGTAGAGATTGGGTGGAGGCACAAGTTGGATTCCCAGGCTGCTATTATTGGTTAAACTCTTGAACTGACTGGTAATATAGATATATTCTCTTTGAGAAACTTCACTGAGCAGAATACTGGCAAAAGTGTCACTTAATGATAGGGGTAAGTTCTGAGAAATGTGTCAGGAGATTTCATTGTTGTGCAAACATCATAGAGTGTACTTATACAAACCTAGACCGTACAGCCTACCACACACTAGGCTATATGACATAGCCTATTGCTCCCAGACTACAAACCTATACAGCGGTTACAGAACTGAATACTGTAGGCAATTGTTACAGAATGGTAAGCTTTTGTGTATCTAATTATATCTAAACATAGAAAAAGAACGGTAAACATACAGCCTTATAATCTTATGGGACTACCATCATATATATGCAGTCTGTCATTAACCGAAATATCATTATGTGGTGCATAATGTCGTATGTATGATAGTGTGAAATTCAGATGTTGGATTGGGCCCTGATCGATTATCCAGGAACTAAGCTTGCAAGAACTAAAAAGAACCTCAGAATCCCTGCCTAGCATGGTAGGTCCATTTCTGGAGTCAGGGAAATTGAGTCAAAAACCTGAGCAGAAGGTTGGGGCAACAGATACAATAGGGCAGGACAGGATGGGGACTGTGCTCAGGGGGGGTCACTGGATACCAGTCTTGGGAGTAAGTTCCACAGAGTGATGGGGCTGAGACTGCTGGCAGGCAGGATGGGCTCAGGGACTGCATCGGCCAGAACATACAGGTGAAGTCTAAGAGCGGGTATTACAGAGGATGAGGGGTTGACAGTGGGGAGTGGCGTGTTGGGAGCTCAGATCCAGTTTATTTTTAACTCTCATGAGGCCACACTGCCTCCTCTGCTATGGCCTTCCCTTCCTAATATGGATAGTACCATCAGCCCAGGCCATGGGACTGTGACCCCAATTTTTCATATGAAGAGATTGGCTTTAGTTTCTCAAAAGCCCAAGCTGCTGGGCCTTTTTCTCAACTGTTGGTCTCTGTGGAAGAGACTTGGCTTAATGGAAAGGTAAATGAAGGGAGGCTTTTGGAAAGAGAGAGCCTAAACAGGGTCAGCACTGATGCCGAGCAGCATGAGGGAGAAGGGACTTTCCTTGGAGTTTACCCCACAGTTGGCCACAGAGTGGTGGGAAAGCATATTTGAATAAGGTAAGGGGAGAAGCAGAAGGATAAGAGAGTCTTTGAGGATGGGTAAGCAGGGAAGCCAAGGCAGCTAGCCACAGGCAAGGTGTGGGGCTGCAAAGTTGCTACAAACCTGATCTGCGGATCCACCACCTGCATTTTTAAACCTCAGTCACAACCAAGGAGCTGCTGAGGAGTGAAGCCTAAGAAGATAGTCCTTGGGCTGTGTGGGGCTGACTTTTTGCTAACTGAACTACAAATACTTGGAGCCATTTGCTGCTCTAACATCTTAAAAAGATGAGGACCCTCATTGGATGTTACAGTCTCAACTGGGAGAGAATAGGAAGGGCCATGCCTGCCCATGTTCAAGATCTTGAGAGCAATACGGAATGGACTCAGAGAGACAAAACCTAATTTATCCCCAGCTTAGAGTCTGCCAGCCTTTAAAAAAAAAAAGTCTGTCAGTAAACAGATGTGCCTAGTACTAAGAAGCATCTCCTTGTGTGATCAGAGTTAATTAACATTTATAGCATAGCTCCTTTAGGAGTGAGAAGTTGTGATCATCTTTCTCTCTAAAGGTTAAATTACCCCCATTGTGTTTGCCCATCTGGGAAGAAAAATGCAGGATGAGTTGGGAAATCATTGTTAGGACACCACTGTGAGTATGGCTAATTTTCTGGCATGGAGGTTTTAGGCATTAAAATGTGCATCATAGTAACCAGATTCCAGGATATGTCTCAAGAAATCCCTAAGGGAAGGTTTTTTGTTGTTGTTGTTCATTCACAGAATGCTTCCTGAAGATATTATTACAGGAAAACTTTATTTAGAAGAGTTTCTTTGATCCTGCACTAGTACATGAGAACATATAAGCAGATGACAATATCTAATATCTGCTCCTACCTGACCACTCTGCTTCCCATCCCAGAGTTTCTTCTGCAAAACACATGGAGCCCTGCTTCAGCAAAACTCTCTGGATAGCACCCAGCCTCACCAGGAAGGTCTGATTTATAGCACGTTGATCTTAAGCATGCTAGTGTGATGCCCAAAAAAGAAAAGAAGTTTCAATAAAGGAATATTATAGAAAGTCTTCAGCCAGTGGGTAGAATCCCATCTCCAAGCCAGGCTGAGATCACCAGATCACCAGGATAAAGAACTGTTTTGGGCTATATGACCATAATGAGGCTGGATTCATGAGATCAACAGTGTTTGATCTCCTTGGGCATAAGTAGGTCAGTAACTGAGAAAGCCTCTCTCACCTCTGGCTCTCCTGCTCCTACTCAGAACACCACAGCCACTCAAGGCTTCATGTTGCTCACCTTGGGTCCCCCATCATAGACTTCACACGGGATGATCTCTCAGTGGCTCTCAGGTTTCCCAGATGTCTTTCTCTCATAGGCATATGACTGACAATCTACTAAATCTCTGTACTTCCATTTGCTCACGTTAAAACCTGTACCTGCACACAGGGCGGTTGTGATAACAAATGAAATTTACATGATTAAGGTACTTACTTTGCCCAGTGTCTGCCCATAGTTGATGCTCTAGAGGTCATAGGCATTATTTTAAACCCATTAGGAGCCTTTAACCATTTGATTTTAATTAGATGACCCTCAAGGGGGAGATGGAGGAGGTGATTTAGAAAGTGCACCATGGGTGGGCATTTGTTTGGAAGGAATCTTGCAGGAGCAGGTAAAAGGTCCCCCCCAAAAAAAACAAAATACAGTTCACCTCACAGGATCCACTGCTGGGCCAGGATCCTTTACTGAAGCTGGAGCCTCAGATTCAAAGAGATACTTGACGATGCCCGGGTGTCCAGTCTTTACTGTGGCTGTGGTTCCTCCTTTTCTGAGTATGTCCCACAAGGAGCCATAGCAAAGATTGGTCTTTTAGGGGCTTATCAAACACACCCAGACCTTTCAAATGCCCCAAGATAAGCAGCTTTGACCCTGAATGTTCTTCCCTTGATTTTAAAAAAAAAAAAAAAAAAGAGAGAGAAATTTAAGCCATGCGTTTCTAAGAATTTACACTTAGTTCATCAAATCTATTGTTTTCTGAGTTGTTTGAAGTCCAACAAGACTAATGAGCCATTTTTTCCAAATGTCTTTAGAAATCCTTTTTTCTTAGAAGGACATTTTGAGGCTTTGAAAGCTGTTCCAAGGGTAACAATAATAATATTAATAATATATTGCCCCAAACTCCCAACCCCTGCAGGTTCAAAATTTACTTAATACTCTGAACCCAAGGGATTTAAATTATTACCAGAGTTTATTATCTTTTGTTTATGGGCCTTTCCAAACAGGAGAAAGAAACCACGTGGAGGTTCACTGGAGTTCATCGTGTGATTCGCCTTGCGGTAATGCATATATCCCAGAAGACTTCCAGCGTGAACCTTCAAAGCCTCCCTAACTCAGTGGGATCAACGTGGTTAGGTTGAGATTATACTGAGGGTACTGGCTTTTCAGCCTGGAGAATTTTTGGCTGATGGACCAGGGCAAGAGCCCTCATAGAAGGATTCTCTCGTAGGATATACAATCTAAGTTATGTAAGATTATTGCTATATTGTTAGGTGGATATGGGGTGGAAAGAGAACAATTTTTCTCTGGGCGTGTGCAAAGGAACTGACTGACTGCCTTGGCTCCCCTTGAACTCTCTACCTTGTCATCTGAGGACCTCTGGTGGTGGAATTTTTCCCAGTGTGTGTGAATCGATGTTTCATGCCAAGCCATCCAACCCTGTTACATTTTCCTGCATTCCTTTCCTCCTGTTTTGTCATTCACATTAAGCAAGGAGTAACAATCAGTTGCAAACACGCAGAATAAAGTGGTGGATGGCTGGCCAGACTGTCATTTCGCAAAAGTTACCTGGTGCCTTTCTCTTCCAGTGAACCTCTGATACATTTCCTGTAGCAAGAGAAGGTAGCCAACATGAAGGAAAATGTGGCATCTGCAACTGTTTTCACTCTGCTGCTTTTTCTCAACACTTGTCTTCTGAATGGTAAGTAAGAGACTATCATGCTCTCTTTCATTGCCTGGGGTGTTTGTCAACAGAGCCCATTGCAGTCTTCTTGCAATGCTATTATGAAAAATGAAAATGCTTGCATTATGTGCTATTAAATTATTTGCAATAATTTTGCATTAAAGTTAATGAGAAAAATTAATGCAGTTAGTGCAAAATCTTGTCACTGTGCTCTCTGCCTTCTGTCCTCATTCCAGGGATGTAATGAAACAGCTCTGAAGACAGGACCTGAGTTCTAATCCAGGTCCTGCCAGTTTCTAGCTGCGTGAGCTAGAGCCAATTACCTAACTCCCTGGGTTTCCAAATTTTTAAAGTAAGGATAGTGATGTTTCCTCTACCACAGATGAAATAATGTATATGAAAAATCTTTGAAAAACCATGATGGGATATAACAGATTGCTGTTACATGGTGGGAAGCAGGTACAGCCAACTCTACTATCTGTGCTAATAGGAGAAATGAAGTCCACAGCTAAATGAGAGGATGGGTGCCTGTGAATATACACTTCTGTATGTCAACCCTTGTGCATTTCTGGGTGTGCAGGCTTCTGTATGTGCCTGTGTAGATATTAACTTTTCCATATGGACCTGTTTGCAAATGCTTCTCTGTCTGAACCTGTACGTGTATACTTCTGTGTATGTCTGTGTGTGTGTATATCCATATGTGTACACTTCTCTGCATGTACCTGTGTGCATACCAGTATATATTTCCATGAGTATGCACCTGTATGTATTTCTCTGTGGGGGGGGCGTGCAGGGGGTGTGCTTTTGATGTGGGCCCTGTGTGGGCAGCTACATACCTGTGCGTGTGGTACCTATGTGGTTTTCTCTGTGTTTCTGTGCACTGAGAAAGTCCATTAATTTTAATTTATTCCTCTAATGTAGATGAAAGAAACATGTGTCTAATTGCAATTTTACAAATCTACCCTCTTCTCTTGAGTCTCCTGAAGGTACTATTAATAAACAATAAAATAAGAAGAGAAGCTTTCAAAGAGAGAAAAAGGGGAAAGCAGAGGTCAGAATGACCTGCAAGAGAAACTCTAAATACTCAGGAAATCAATGATCACCCTGATTAGCTTCTGAGTGCACTCATTACTGAACCATAGGGTTTGAATGTTTTAAATAAGCTTTTCTTTCTACTTCACACGCTTCTCCCCACTCATGACAAAAACAAAGCAAAACAAAAACTTGCATTCTTACTGTGACTCCCAGCAACAGCTTATCCTAAATAAATTGTCCCTAGAGGATGAACAATGTTACAAATATTGGCAGAGCCGCCCCAGGCTGGCACGGGCAGATTTCAGCAGGGCCTGTGAGCGGGACGTTAGGTGAGCTCCAGCTGATACTACTAGCCTGTTGTCCTGGGATCCAGCCTGGTGTCCTGGGATCCAGCCTGTGTCCCACAACATGCCATTCCACTAAATCTCTCTTTCTGGCCAGCTCTGCCTAGAGGCCCCTCTTCCCATCCATTTCCCCCTGCTGAGGTCTCCTCCTAACTTACTGTTTCTGATCTGGTGCTCAGCTAGATACTCTGGTCTTGGAGCCTGCATGAGGTATAGGGGAGAAAACAGAGAGAACCCCCAGAGGTGCTGGCCCACCTCTGAAAGTGCTCCTCTCTGTTCCTGACATCCCGAACTCAATACTAGAGCATCTAGCTATACAAAAAAGAGGACCAGCTGAAGTCATAGAGGTGAGCATGGTGGCTTCCCCAGCCCCACAGCATCAGGGCAAACTCCCAGGCTCTGCTGTCCCTCTTTGAACCTGACATCCAAGCAAGAGAAATGGGGGCCCACTTGCCAAGAGCTTTGGGGATTTGGCAACTAAAAAATTCTATATCCTTGGTGTTGTATTTTCACGCCACCTCACTGAGGCCTTCAAGAGTCCAACCTGGAACTAGGTACAGCTCTTAGATAACAGTGGTTGCTCAGAACCAGGAGAGGAGCTGGCCACTCTCCTACACCTTACCATACCTCCTATCCCAAAAAGATCCATCGAATTATAGTGTTATAGACCCTGTGAGATTACAAAAGGGCAACACACTCTTCAAGCCCTATGAATCCAAAGGAAGCCTTTTGCAACCTCACCACAAAAAAAGAAAAGGAAAGAGAAAAAATCTAAGAGAAACGAGGACTAAAAACTAAGATTCAGGAATGAGGATGGAGTGGATGAGAAGAGAGATTGTGAGTCTGGGTCACAAGATCAAAGCTGAATAAAATCAAGAAAATGTGAAGGGAAAGGAGAAAGAAAGGAGAAGATGGGGAAAGAGGAAGGGAAGGACGCCCAGATACAGGGAGCTTCAGCAATGCAGTAAACGGACAGAAGGTCAGGAACAGGTTGAGTTCATGTGTGGGGTTGGCAGAAAGATGGAGATTGGTGAGCAGGGTGGATAAGTGCCAGAGGGTGGTGTTTTGGCAGTGTTTGTAGGTTGCTCATACCTGGGAAGGATTCTTTGTATGATCCCCTTAGAATGAGAGGGTATCAGCTTTACAGACCTCATGGGATTACAAAGGGCCACACACTCTTCAATCCTTATGTGTCTATCTTGCATTCAAGGTTCATTCTTTGTTGAAATTTTGCAGTTAGTCACCAGCCCTCACGTAGGCTATTGATATCTCCATCTCAAAGTACACACACACACACACACACACACACACACACACACACATACCACAAAGCTCTCTAAGAGCCCTGCCAACATCAGGGCAGCCCACAGAGGAGTGTTGCTGGATGCTGATGCTTGGCATTTCTGAGCAGCCACCCTAGGTCTCCTCACCCCGAGACTTCATCACTGGCTTGGGTTCCATCAGTCTGTTCTGCCACCAGCAGAAGGATCAAATGGTTAAACGGACCTCAATATCGATGCAGTGGCTTCTGTCTTTTCCTAGGACAGTCACCTCCTGGGAAACCTGAGGTCTTTAAATGTCGTTCTCCCAATAAGGAAACGTTCACCTGCTGGTGGAGGCCTGGAGCAGATGGAGGACTTCCTACCAATTATTCACTGACTTACCACAAGGAAGGGTAAGAAGTTTCCTTCTCTCCTGTCAAACCCCACATGAGTATTTTCATTCTCCAGGGCAAAGAAACACTGGTTCTGAGTGACAGCACTTCCCTGAATTTCCACCAGTAAGGTTCATACCACTGGGGAAAGGGGAGTCTAAGGTCTTGTGCCTACATTGTCCTATTAATGTCTGTTAAGAGCTGTGTCAATATACATAAGGTAACCAGCCATAGCAGTGCAATATCAGCAATGTTTCAAATCCCTGTCACAGCTTAGGTTGTAGCCTCAGGCCTCATATAAGTGTTTCTTAAGTGCTAGTTAATCTTAGATGCTCATCTATAAACCTTATGCCATTTGTAAATTTTTTTTTTTTTTTACTAAACATGTCACTTTTGTAACATAAGACAGTCATGTGAAGTGGCACCACGTAATCCATGATAAACATGGTACAAGGTTTTCAAACTTGTTTTATGTTCAAGAAAAATAAAGAACCTTGTAGGGAGAAGAAAGTGAGGTTTTTCCTTAGGAGATTGCTGATCCAAGAGCCGTGATCTCCTGGAGGACATATTTGGACCTAAGGTTGCAATGAGGGCTAAACCAGATCATCTCTGTGCAAGCATTTTGTTACGTTCACAGTGAGACCCGCCTGGAACTCCTGGGAGAGCTGCACTCTTCTTCAAAAAGGAAAATATTTAGTTGCTGGTAAAGACAGCTGGCCCACTTTCCGATGCCTGCACTTTGTTGTACACAAAACTGTTATTCCAGCTGAAGTCCAAAAGGGCATCATGTAAACAGATTTCAGGAACTCAAATACAACTGGAATTGAACAAGCCTTTATACCTGTGTAGTGTGTCTTGTGCTGAGGCTCCTAAGTCTAAATGTGAGCAGCCTACTAAGCCACTTGGACCTGAAATACCTCCTTTCAACATCACTTCACTTTATTGCTGACTTGGTGCAGTCTGAAATGGATCAGCATCAGTTTTTGTGCCTTTGGACCCTTTTTTAAACAATGAAATGTAATTCAACACACATGCGCAAAGCTGCTGCATTGTGCTTTGCACCCCATGTGTGGACAGGTGAAAGTTCCAGTTCCCTGAGGTGACCCCATGGGCATGACCTGGGTTTGGTGGCGCCCTGGTCATTGAAAGCTCAAGTGTTTATCAGCAGGGAATATATATCCCAGAGCCCACAAGAACACTTACAGAAGGGAAGGGTTGATAAGAAACAGAATACTTGAGGCCCTAAAATAACTTTTCCAGCATGCTCTTCTTTCTCTCACTCTCAGCTGAAATGGGAGGAACACGGAAGCCTGGGGAACCATTCATCAGCTCTGGGTTTTGCGCTTGAAATTTCTGATACCCAAAGGCCAGTGGTATTGATCTACGAAGAAAAAACTAGATTTGCTTTATCACTTTCTTATTCATTCCTAATGCGTTACTTATTTCAGAGAGACACTGATACATGAATGTCCAGACTACGTAACCGGTGGCCCCCACTCCTGCCACTTTGGCAAGCAGTACACCTCCATGTGGAGGACATACGTCATCACAGTCAACGCTACTAACAAGATGGGAAGCACTTTGTCAGATGAACTCTACGTGGACGTGACTTACATAGGTAAGGGGGAGGGAAATGGGTGAGGAATTTGTTACTCCATTATGCATTAGACAATAGTCAGACTCAGTGTGAGTTTTCTTGGGTTTTGGATGGATCCCCCACCCCCAAAAAGGATGAGAAAATTCACAATATGCTTGTCAACTGAGCATTTCAAATCACTTTTTATCAAAGCGTCCATGACACTAAGGCTGGCACTTGGGATCCTTGTGTTCCTGTGCTTTCCCTTGACCCTCATCCTCTTGCGCTCAGCACAAATGTTCTATGTTTGCTTCCCTTGCCAACCCTTCTATCTTGCCCTTCCCTTGTAATCAATGTTCGCTTCTTCCTTAGCAAGCTGAGATTTCTTTTTATTTCTTTTCATGGAAGACAGAACTGCTCCATGAAGAAGAAGCTCTTAGAAGGGTTCATCTGGTTCTGCATCCACGGCAGTTGCTCCCATTGCTCCACAACATGTATATGTTGTATACATGTGATATGTATACACACACACACACGTATGAGTTTGGGGCAAAGCAATGGGAGCAATTGCTGTGGATGCAGATACACACACACACACACACACACACACACACACACACCCCATTTGTAATTTTTTTTACTAAACATGTTACTTTTATAGCTTAAGAAGATAATGTGAGGCGGTACCATGTAATCCGGTACCATGTAATCCTTGACAAACATAGTGTTCAAGAAAATAATGTAATGTAAATGTTAAAAACTACCATTGTTCTGTGTGTGCATGTACACACACACACACAGAGAGAGAGAGATTGATTTTCACCCCTGCATTTACTGGTGCTGCCAAGGTTGCAGGAAGGTCATCTCCAAGCTGAATGGGAAGCTCACTGGCATGACCTTCCATGTCCCCACCACAAATGTGTCGGTCATGGACCTGACCTGCTGTCTAGAACAACCTGCCAAATATGATGACATCAAGAGGGTGGTGAAGAAGGGAAGATGTTCAGGAGAGCCCCATGATTGTTGTACTACAGCTGTGCAGAAGGACCATTCACAGTCTTCTTTGTGGAGTGATGGCATGGACTGTGGGCATGAGTCCTTCCATGATGGATGATAAATGTTATGTAAGTGTGCTGTGTGTGTGTGTGTGTGTGTGTGTGTGTGTGTGTGTGTGTGTGTGGTGTGTGTATTGCCTTACCCTCAAGCGTTATAATATTTGAAGGCAAAACAACAAAAGCAAGAAATGTTCTGAAATTAGCAACTGTTTTAATAAATGTGATCCATAAAAAGAGTTCACTGAAGAAAAGTAGTATGTTTCAAAAGAGAAATGAACAAATGTATATGCAATTCTCATTGATTCTGGAAAACAAACTCTCTGGTGAAAGAATATGTTGGACCATATTTTTCAAAGTAATAAGTCTCCACAGAACTCTTGTATAATCCTGCAGCCTACAGCGTTGTGACAGCCCATGGAAGTTCAGTTTACAGTGGATGGTACATTTTCTGACCCTTTGGCTCTTAGCCAGTAATAACCTGTAGTACAGAATGACATCACTGGCAGATAATTGCTTAGAAGTAGAATTCTTTGTGGTTGAGTAATATTTAATTATAGTGAAAACACTTGAAAGCTGTGGTTCTCAACTGGAAGCTGTTTTTGCTTCCCACAGGATATTTGGCAATGACTGGAGACTTTTTTTTATCACAACCTAGGAAAGTGGGGAGGCAGGAGTATTACTTCTATGTGGTACATAAAGCCCAGAGATCCTATGAAGCGTTCTACAAAGCGTAGGACAGTCTCCTGCAACAAAGAAATATCCAGTCCAAAATGCAAGTGGTGCTGAGGTTGGGAAAGCATGCTCTAAAAGAAACATCTTGAGCATTTGAATTGAATTTTTGTACAATTTTTTTTATCAGAAGCATTGCTTGGTATGCATTTAACTTAAAATATTTATTAGCTGCCATTTGTTTAGGAAATATATTCAAAGTAACCTTTCTTAGGTATTTACTCAGTAACATACCAGTTTAGAATTGATGGCAATTGTTTTTTGGTACGGGGGGACTTTGCTGATGGTACAAGGCAAGGTGGGGCTCCCTAAGCCCCCACTCTTCAGGGGGTCTGCTTGAAAATTGTGAGGGGAGATTCTCAGTGTGGTGGGGGACTGAGTGCGATAGGGATTCCCCAGCAGCTGAGGGCCTCGCTCTTGCTCTTCTGCCTCCGCTGGGGCTGGTGATCCCACTCCTTGGAGGGGTCTTACTCCTTGGAGGCCATGTGGGCCATGAGGCCCACCACCGTGTTGCTGCAGCCTAATTCGTTGTAATGCCAGGAAATGGGCTTGACAAAGTGGTCATTGAGGGCAGTGCCAGCTCCAGCATGGAAAGTAAGAGTAGTGGGTGTCACTGTTAAAGTCAGAGGAGACAGCCTGGTGCTTAGTGTAGCCCAGGATGCTCTCAAAGGGCCCTGCGATGCCTGCTTCACCACCTTCTTGATGTCATCATATCCGGCAGGTTTTTCTAGATGGCAGGTCAGGTCCATGACCAGCGCAGTGGCAGGGACATGAAAGGCCATGCCAGTGAGCTTCCCATTCAGCTCAGAGATGACCTTGCCCTCAGCCTTGGCAGCACCAAAGATGCACAGATCATGTTCTGGAAAGCCCCATGGCTGTTGCCCCACAGTTTCCCAGAGGAGCCATTCACAGTCTTCTCAGTGGAGTGGTGATGGCATGGACTGTGGGTACGAGTCCTTCCACAATGGGTGGCAAATATTTAAATGTTGGTTTTTAGGCAAATGTAGGTCATAATGCCAAGTATACTATAGTTACACTCACTCTTTCCCCATCTGGTACAGAGATTGATTTAAGGAAATAATAAAGGAATAGAGAAAATGTCACTGACCAGCAGGACTAAGACTGGAGTGGGGCAAGCCAGCACCCCAGCACCTGAGTCTTAGGAAGGTACTCATAGGGGTTGTAGCCACAGAAGCCTACTAGAGTAAATGCCTCCTTCATTTTTCCTTTTTTAAATTCCTACCAGCAGAAGCCACTTTATTTATTTTTATTGTGATAAAAAAACAAAAAACACAAATCCACCATTTCAGCTATTTTATAGTATGCAATGGAATGACATTAGTTTATTACAATATTGTACAACCATTACCACTGTCTAGTTCCATAACACGTTTGTCTCCCTCAATGGAAACTTCACATCCACTACTAAGCAGTTACTTCTCATTTCTCCCTTCCTTAACCCCTGCCAACCACTAATCTGCTGTCTGTTTCTAGGAGTTTGCTTCGTCTGGATATTTCATGTATATATGAAATCAAATATGTAGCTATATCACATATCTTTTTTTTGAGATGGAGTTTCACTCTTGTCACCTAGGCTGGAGTGCAATGGCACAATCTTGACTAACTGCAACCTCTGCCCCCTGGGTTCAAGCGATTCTCCTGCCTCAGCCTCCCAAGTAGCTGGAACTACAGGAGTGCACCACCAGGCCTGGCTAATTTTTTGTATTTTTAGTAGCGAGGGGGTTTCACCACACTGGCCAGGCTGGTCTTGGACTCCTGACCTCAGGTGATCCTCCTACCTCAGCCTCCCAAAGTGCTGGGATTATAGGCATGAGTCACCATGCCTGGCCTCTACCACATTTATTATCTGTTCATCAGCTGATGATTTGTTCACTTTTGGCTATTATAAATAGTGCTGCTATGAAAATTTACGTACAAGATTTTCTTAAACATCTGTTTTCAATTCTTTCGAATCTATATCTAGGAGTGGAATTGATGGGTAATATGGCAAGTTTTACTTTTTGAGAAACTTGCAGACTGTTTTCCACAGTGGCTGCACTGGTTTGCATACCCACCAGCAATGTATGAGGGTTCCAATTTCTCCACATTTTCACCAACACTTGTTATGTTTCATTTTTCGAATTCTTGCCAGGCTGATAGATGTGAAATGGTATCTCAATGAAGTTTTGATTTGCATTTCCCAGAAGGCTAATAACCTTGAGCATCTTTTCATGTGCTTCTTGGCCATTTGTCCTTCCTTGAATTTTGTATCCTATGCACTTCACTCACCTCAACCTAATCCCAGGCCTGCTCTCCAGCACCTGACATAAATGCAAAGCCTTACAACCATGGTAGAGTGAAATGGTAGAGGCTGCTTCCTCTAAGTCGTATAGTTATGGGTTCAGATAACACTTTTACCAAATATGTGTCCTTAGGCGAGTCATTTTCCCTCTTCTAAGCCTGTTTCCTCCTCTGTAAAATGAATGGGAACAGCAATTCATGCAGTTGTTAGAGGATTATAAAAAATGATGCAGAGATAGTATTTTTTACAGTCCCTGGCATGTAGTAAATACTCGAGAGACATTAGCTATTATTTTGCTAATGGGAATTCACTAAACATTTGTTGAATGAGTGACTGGACCAATGGACTGTTATGAAGTCACCGAAAGGATCATTGGTCTCTGTCATCGTGAAAATTATGGGGATAGCTATGAGACTCTAGCTGATGGAAAACGAGAACATGCAGAGAATGAAATCCCAGCTGCTTAATATTCTTTCCAACTAAATCTTATCTGTATGCACAAATATGGTTGGTCACATACTAAGAGGTAGAAGACCAGAATCCCTGGTCTTTGGGGGCTTATAGTACAGTGAGAACAGTGAGATGATAAATAGGAAATGGAATTCCTGATAGAAAATGGTAAAGCCAAAGAAAACATGCAAGCAGTGCGTGCTACTGGACTTTGCTGTATTTCCACAGTTCAACCAGACCCTCCTCTGAATGTGGTTGTGGAAGTAAAACAGCCAGAAGACAAAAAACCCTATCTGTGGATTAAATGGTCTCCACCTACCCTGATTGACTTAAAAACTGGTTGGTTCACGCTCCTATATGAAATTCAATTAAAACCCGAGAATGCAGAGGAATGGGAGGTGAGTGATCCATATGCTTTTTGAAGGAACCGTGGCCTTTGGCAAGGATAAAGCCCTCACAACTGAAAACAAGTTGTTCCTCCTAATTATTGGGTCACCATGTTGGCCTCCAATGCAGTTATGACTCACCCAGATGTGAAAAGTTCTTCTCCCCTCTACTGGGATTGATGGGGGCTCATCTTCACAGCTCTCCTCAGGCTAGTTTCTTGCACTGCAAAGACATTTGACCAGGTTTCCAAACTTCCTCCCTTAATACATTTTAGATGTAGATCCTCATGAGAGTACTTAAATGGCACCAGATAGGAGGGGGGAATCTCAGTCATAGTCGATGGCTGTGTTTTTATTTACTTTAAAATACTTCAACCAGGCCAGGTGCAGTGGCTAACACCCATAATCCTAACACTTTGAGAGGCTAAGGCAGGTGGATCATCTGAGGTCAGAAGTTCAAGACCAGCCTGGCCTACATGGGGAAACTCCATCCCTACTAAAAATACAAAAACTTAGCTGGATGCCTGTAATTCCAGCTACTTGGGAGGCTGAGGCAGGAGAATTGCTTGAATGCAGGAGGTGGAGGTTACAGTGAGCCAAGATGGTGCCATTGCACTCCAGCCTGGGCAACAAGAATGAAACTTCAATTCAAAAAAAAAAAAAAAAACAAAAAACGTTGTGCACAGTAGCTCATGCCTGTAATCTCAGCACTCTGGGAGGCTAAGGCAGGTGAATCACTTGAGGTCAGAAGTTTGAGCAGCCTGACCAACATGACGAAAATCCATCTCTACTAAAAATACAAAAAATTAGCCAGGCATGGTGGCGATTGCCTGTGATCCCAGCTACTCAGAAGGCTGAGGCAGGAGAATCGCTTGAACATGGAAGGTGGAGGTTTCAGTGACCCAGGGTCCTGCCTGGGTGACAAGGCTGTCTCAAATAAATAAATAAATAAATAAATAATAAAATACTTCAACCTAGAGAAATAAGTAAATTGCAGGCAGTACAATATTCCACCTTTACATACTTTAGTATATGCCTCTTTAAAAAAGGTACATTTCTGAACATAGCCAAAATAATAGGATTACACATAAGAACATTAATTAAAATTCCTCAATATCATTTAATAGCCAGTCCCTAGTTTAATTCCTCCCAGTGCCTCCAAATCTCTTTAAAAGCTACTTTGTCCAAACCAGAATCCACTCATAGACCACACATTGTAACTGATTGTTATATCCCTTCAGTTTCAGTGCAATGGGAAGACCGGGCTCCTTGTCCCCTACAGTATCCCACCTTCTACATTTCTCTGATCAGTTCTTTGTCGGGTCATTGAGCTAATTTCTCTATGTCTCCATTTCCTGTAACCAGACTTGATTAGATGTAGGCTGAACAACTTTTGCCAAGAGTTGGCAAATTCAGAGGTGATATTATGTACACTATATTGTATTTAATCAGATGTCAAAAACTATCTGGTTGACCCATTGTAAGTGACTAAAACTGGTCCCTGAATTGGGGAGATGTCACACTGATCCCTTGATTGTAAAGTCATTTTTAATTTGTATGCTACTGCTTTACCATACATGAATGCCCAATTCTCTTTCACGTCGTGTCTTTAACACCAATTTATTATTGAATCAGTTATTGTATTAAGGTTTAAAAGCTAACAATTCTTTATATTAACTAGTTGTTTTTCATAAAGTGGGAGGAATGGAATATTTGACTTTTCTGAAGTAGAGTCCCAAATGGAAAGATAGAAAACCTGTTAAATTTTTGTGTGAATAATTTTAAGAGGAGGAAGAGATGGGGCTAAGACAGTGGAGCAATGACAGCTGGAAATTCTCTGTGTGTGATTGTTCAGCCTAACTCCACTGTAGTTTATTTTTTAGGGAAAAACTCTCTTTCTTCACAACAAATGTCAGAAGTGACTTCTGTTTTCCTTATTCTACCTTAGACCCATTTTGCTGGGCAGCAAACAGAGTTTAAGATTCTCAGCCTACATCCAGGACAGAAATATCTTGTCCAGGTTCGCTGCAAGCCAGACCATGGATACTGGAGTTCATGGAGTCCAGAATACTCCATTCAGATACCTAGTGGTGAGCATCTTGGCTCTTTTTTACTTATGTCCCTAAATATGTTTTAAATGGTATATTTGCATATAATAACTACTAATAGAGAAACAACTTTGAGCCTTAGCCAGAATAGGAGAGGTGGGTTTATAAACTTTCTGCCCAGTACATAGATTTTGAAGAGCAGCATTTCTCCCTGGATTACTGCCAGTGGAGAACAGTTTTAGGATAAGGCTACAGACATGGGCCTGGTGTCTCACGGGGCTTGATGGTCAGTCATTCTGCCCCCACCATCTGCCGCATTCCTATCGTTTAGAGGATTTGGTCAAGGTCATCATCTAGTCCTTCTGGAATTTATAAGGCATTACCCTGTCTCGAAGGCATGAACCGATACTCAGTCTCTGCTATGGATTATACTTCAGTCTCTTAGTGAAGACATGGGATATAAAACAGACAGCTCCAGCAAAGCATCTTAATTCAGTAACTTCTGTTCTATAAGGGAACAATCCACCTTGCATTTTTAAAATGCCTTATAGCTTACAAAGGCTGTACCTTGTTTGGTCCTCCCAACCCTCCCAGGTATTCAGAGAATATGATTATTGTCAAGAATTAAAAGTGAAAAGGTCGGGCATGGTGGCTCATGCCTATAATCCCAGCACTTTGAAAGGCCAAGGCAGGTAGAGGTCAGGAGTTCGAGACCAGTCTGGCCAATGTGGTGAAATCCCATCTCTACCAAAAATGCAGAAAAAATTAGCCGGGCATGGTGGTGTGCACCTGTGATCCCATCTCCTTGGGAGGTGGAGGCAGGGAAATTGCTTGAACCAGGGAGGTAGAGGTTGCAGTAAGCTGAGATCGTGCCACTGTACTCCAACCTGGGTGACAGAGCAAGACAGCCTGAAACAGAAAAGTGAAGAAAGTAAACCTCAGGAAAGTGAGGGGTCTTTCCCAGAGCGACACGGCCAAGTCTAGCTCTTCTAACAACTTGCCTGACCAAAGTATTGGGCTTTCATTGGCTTGGCATACTGGAAAGGGCACTGAACTGCAAATCAGGCGTGCTTCTAGTCCAGTTCTGCCTCTTACTTAACAAAAGCACAGGATCTAGAGGCAGAAAGCCTGAGTTCAAATCCCAGCCTGCAACACTATAGTTATATGGCCATTGGTAATTCACTCTTAGATTCTCAGTTTTTTTATCTTTTGTAACAAAGCAACGTAGGCAAAGAGCTTAACACCATTGATGGCTTTTAGTAAGAATTTAATTAATGTTAGCTTTCATTATTATTACTACTAATGACCGTGTGACCTTGGATTTCCTCTTTAAGGATCAATTAAAAGAATATGTGAAGGGATTTTTAAATTTGTAGAGTACTATAAAATATATGCAGCATATTAATATATTAATAATATTGGAAAGAAAATAGCCCTGTCATGGATGCTACTTTGGATTGCTGTTCAAATCAAAAAATATATAGATGGAGGAAAACACTCTCGGTTAAGAGTTTCACTCATTAGGTTTGTTTGTTTTTAATGATGCTGTGTGTGATCAAAGCTTTCTGACTGTTTGTTTTTTAGAGTTCACCATGAACGATACAACCGTGTGGATCTCTGTGGCTGTTCTTTCTGCTGTCATCTGTTTGATTATTGTCTGGGCAGTGGCTTTGAAGGGCTATAGGTACTTCACTGTCTCTGAACTTCTTCTCTGCCTCATGATAGTCAGGGATAATGGCAAAAAGAATAACACAAAGATGATAGATACCTATAGATAATCCAAGCACCTCATTTTAGCCATCAGATGTAATGTGTCTGCCTATTAAAAAAAAATCTTTTATCACTGCTAGAAAAAGTAGAAAAAACATTTTAGGCTAATGTTCTTTCTATGAAACAGAAATTGATAGTTGTAAAACAGTAAAAATGTGGCAAGAGTAGCTAAAATCAAAAGTAGCAAATAGTCCAAATAATCCACTAACTTCAAAATCAGCCTCCTTAATTAGCTAGAGCTAATTTTATTATAGGACTGTGTAATTTTATTTTCATCATTGATTGTTTCATGTAGCTGTCAAACTCTAAGTCCTATCTCTACCACAATGCATATAGCAGCTATTATACTCATCTTTTAAAAATTACAGTCAGAAATGAGTCATTTAGCCAATCTCATGAATTATTTTATAGCATGGCGACCTGCATCTTTCCGCCAGTTCCTGGGCCAAAAATAAAAGGATTTGATGCTCATCTGTTGGAGGTAAGGACAAGAGGCAAAAACTCCAGTGTGACTCACTGCTTTGCAATAACTAACTCTACACTCGTACACACAGTCCCCATCAGGTCAGCCTGGTGGTTTCAGCCAGCCTTTTCGGGCTGTCTCTCCTGGTCAGTATGTGTGTTAACAGAAAGATGTGTGAAGGATGAGGGTACTTACTTTCACACACTAAATGTCAGAGGGCAAGGAGACAAAGTCAAGAAAACGTGGAAACACGTAGCAATGCTTGCTTGATTTATCTGGTTGACTCATAAGCATAGAGATAAACATGTTGTATAAATAATCAATTTAGAAAGAGAGTGAATATTTTGATTAATGCAAAACAAGGACCACTCCCCTAGCCATATGTGGTAAAAGCTTCTACTTGAATGTTCTTTATGTAAAGCCATAGTAACAGAATATCCTATTGCCATTATCTCTTACTTTGGGTACTCAGTTGAGATCAGATCAGTACAGTGGGGCCATCTGTTTGCCAGGGCCCATTTAGGCTGATGAAAGAGGGAATTAAATGGTGGGTGTTTTGAATGAAAAGAGGTTAAAACATTTTAAAATTTTTCTCCGAGTTGAAATATATAGTTTCAGTTTGGCTTTTAGGCTTAACAATGATGTATAGATGTATATAAAAGCAACTAGCTGTACTTTAAAGCAAATACCACTTGACCCAGCTGCTCTGGGTCTGACAGTGTAAAAATAGAAGTGATGCCGAGATTATATGGCTTATCTGTGTTCACTTCGGTTGCAAATATCAGAGCAGGAACTAGAGCCCAGGCATCTGGGTTCCTGATCCAGTGATCTTCCTCCACTATCCAGAGCAGCATTGACCTGACAGAACCAGCACGAATGTCTCAACAAACTAAATTAGCTGCTGTCCAGCCCACAGTTTAACGTGCTAGCTTAATGATAAAACAGAGACTTAATGATAAAATAGTGACCTTTGTCTCAAAAATATATATATTAATATTCTTAACAATATTACCTCTAATCTTCAAAAGATCCCTCCCAGATGGGTAATATTAATATTACTTTCTACCTTTTAAAAATGGAGAAGCTGAGGTTCAGAGAACAGCTTGTCCAAAGTCACATACCCTACAATAAGTAATAAAGCCAAGACCTAGGTCAGTACCTGACCCAAGCCAGATGATAAGAAAAAAGAGGGACGAATGAAAGGAGGAGGTGGGAGGAGAGAGGAGGGGGAGAAGAAGGATAGAAGGAGAAAGAAGAATAAGAAGAGATGGGAGAAAATATGGAATCAGGAGATAAAGGGAGAATAGAAGGAGAGAGCAGAAGAGTAGAAGAAAACAGTGGTTCAGGAAAAGGAGAAGGGAAGGGGACATAAGGAGAGAAGGAGGAGGAACCACGGAAGGAAAAGACAGGAATCCACTTACTATTGCCAGATAATAGAAAATCACAGAAGAAGTTAGGGGGCCAGAAACCACACCTCTGCCAGTGGGCCACAGTGTCAGATGCCTGTGCGAGCACTGGGTTTAGAAGTTTCACAAACTTTTATTTTATAGTTATCTGTTTATTATTATATGTGTATATACGACTTGCCCACTAAACTCATTACTATTATTGCTTGGAGAGAGACTAATTTAAATATCCTGAGTTGACTTAAAGAAAAATATCTGCTGAATGATATCCAGAAGGTGATTCTAGATGGCCTGGCACACAAATGTCTGAAGTTTGAGATCTTCCTACCTGCTTGTGGCAATGAAGAGATACCACTTAACAGGGATGCTGATTTGAAATGTTCTGAAGCTAACAGCCAACTCTTCTTGTGCCTGTGTTTTCATAGAAGGGCAAGTCTGAAGAACTACTGAGCGCCCTGGGATGCCAAGACTTTCCTCCCACTTCTGACTATGAGGACTTGCTGGTGGAGTATTTAGAAGTAGATGACAGTGAGGACCAGCATCTAATGTCAGTCCATTCAAAAGAACACTCAAGTCAAGGTATGAAACCCACACACCTGGAACCTGACACTGACTCAGGCCGGGGGAGCTGTGACAGCCCCTCCCTTTTGTCTGAAAAGTGCGAGGAACCCCAGACCAGTCCCTCCACATTCTGTGCTCCTGAGGTCATTGAGAAGCCAGAGAATCCTGAAACAACCCACACCTGGGACCCTCAGTGCAGAAGCATGGAAGGCAAAACCCCCTCCTTTCATGCTGGTGGATCCAAATGTTCAACATGGCCCTTACCACAGCCCAGCCAGCACAACCCCAGATCCTCTTACCACAACATTGCTGATGCGTGTGAGCTGGCTGTGGGCCCCGCAGGTGCACCAGCCACTCCGTTGGACAAAGCAGGCAAAGATGCTTTAAAGTCCTCTCAAGTCAGTAAGCCTAGAGAGGAGGGAAAGGCAGCCCAGCAGAAGGAGGTAGAAAGCTTCCATTCTAAGACTGACTGGCTGTTGCCCCAGGAGAAAACCCCCTTTGGCTCCGCTAAACCCTTGGATTATGTGGAGATTCACAAGGTCAACAAAGATGGCGCACTATCATTGCTACCAAAACCAGGAAATAACGGCAGCCAGCCTGAGAAGCCCAAGGATCCTGAGAACAGTAAGGAGTATGCCAAGGTGTCCAGGGTCATGGATAACAACATCCTGGTGTTGGTGCCGGATCCGCACACTAAAAACGTGGCCTGCTTTGAAGAATCAGCCAAAGAGGCCCCACCGTCACTTGAACAGAATCACGCTGAGAAAGGCCTGGCCGACTTCACTGCGACACCAAGCAACTGCAGGCTCCAGCTGGGTGGTTTGGATTACCTGGATCCCGCATGTTTTACACACTCCTTTCATTGATAGCTTGACTAATGGAATGATTGGTTAAAATGTGATTTTTCTTCAGGTAACACTACAGAGTACATGAAATGCTCAAGAATGTAATCAGACTGACACTACTAAAGCTCCCAGCTCCTTTCATGCTCCATTTTCAAACACTTGCCTCTTTCTGCAACAGCTGATTCTAGAACAAATCATTTTGTTTCCTAACTGTGATTTGTAGATTTTCTCTTTACTATTAGTTATAAAATTGTGTTTGATGAAATAAAAGCACACTGCTTAGTATTCATGAGGGACAATGCCAAGGGGTATATCCTCTGGAAAAGGCTTTCATGATTTGGCATGGGACAGATGGAAATGAAATTGTCAAAACTGTTTACCATAGAAAGATGACAAATAGGTGGAAAATGCCTTGAAAATTGCTTTTGAAAAAACAATTATATAACCTTTACGCTCCTCTTCCATTTTATTAGGATTACCCAAATATAACCATTTACAGAAAGAATGCATTCCAGAACAAATTGTTTACATCAGTTCCTACACCTTACTGACACATTGCTGACAGGCGAGTCAGAAACGATGCCTCTAATTTTTTCTTAAAATAGTTTAAATATGTTAGGTATGGATTTTCTTCCCCTGAATTCTATTTTATTCTAAAGCCTCTTTAGAATATGGTTTGGAAATTAAAATTTTCTTACACAAGGGGCAAATGAATTTCATGTCAATCCTTTTAGGATGTTTTCCTGTTTCATTTCAGCATGACAGATAATTAATTATACACCCTAGTCTTTTCTTAGTGAAAAAAAAATTCCTAAAGACTAACTTTAAAAGAAAACCACAGCAGGATATTAATGTAATTACTGCCTTACTGTATATACAAATTCTACTTTAATATAAACCCATAAGTTTAACAATGTATTTTTGAAGACTATTTTTCTATCACTTAGGTAAAATAAAAGACTCTTTTCTATTTTCCCAGTACAGCTGTTTATGTATTCAGTGGGTACAGTATTTTTCTGCTCCAAGGTTATAATGTGTATTTATAGTACATAGTAGTATATGCAGTTCCTGTTTGTGGCGTAAAATGCCATACCAACCCAAAGCCCACTGTGAAATATAAAGTGAATGACAAAATTCAGTTTTCAACACAATATAATATAGTTTACCTGGTTGTTTTAATCGCAAGGACACTTTAAGCAACAACTACCAACAAAAACCACCTAGGGATTTAGAATTCTTCACAGACCAGAAATTATTTCTCCTTTGAGTTTAAGGCTCCTCTAGGACTCCTGCTCATCAACGGGTGAATCTTCCTAAAGCTACCATAAAAAGGGAGAGTGATGATTTATAACAGCTGTTTGAAAGAGAGAGATTTTGTTTTTGTGAGAAATCTTGGACAGCAAAAAAATATTTTTAAGCAAAACCAGGAGTTAGTGTCTCTCTGAAGTAAATTCATCTGCAAAATCTTGGCAGACACAGAAACAGAGCTCATATCAGAAGTGTCCAAATAAAAGTTCTAGGAAACTAGGTATTTGTAGAGCAATGGGAACAGCTCCAAAGGTCAGAGTATGGTAGTGAGATTCTCCTAGTCAGTTCCAATGCCAGGCTTCCTGAAAGAAGTCAAAGCTTGGATTTTCATTTTAAAGGGCGCGTCCATGACTCATCTAACACCCTCCCTCTATTTTTCCCTTCACTTGATGGCAAATCTATTCTATATGTTCATTTACTAGCTGGACATAGAGAACTTGATCTCACCTCTGGGATTTAAACATTCCACCCCAACTAGCCCAGATTGATAGCAACTGGACTCAAAGGTCCCCCTCCTGTTAGAAAGGGAACACATTGCCAGCGTTTTGGGAATGGCAAAAGCAATAGACATGAAGCTCTATTTTCCTAATATATAAACAATATTATGTGAGTAAGGGAAGCATGTGGGAAAGTTGTCCAGGCTCATTCAGTCCTCTAGATCCTCAACACTTACACACTGTCTGAGAGCCAACTGCATAGGCATCACCTGGGCAGTGTTTGAAAATTCCAATTGCAGAATCTTAGGCCCTACCTCTAACCTAAAGAATCAGAATCTGCATTTTACTAAGATCCCCAAATGATTCAAGTGCACACTGAAGTTTAAGAATCACTGTTCTAGATAACCATTTCCACTAAAGGTTGTTTTAGTGTATAGAAACAATCCTTTTTTGGAAAGGACAGATCAAGTCTGTTTGACTTGCAGTGACCAACACTGCATGTACGAAGGCAAAAAAAAGAAACATGTCAATGGTTTAAGATTCACATTATGCTGAATCTTCTGTGAATTCACATAAAAGAATGACCTGCAAAAGTACACGTAAGTTCTGAAAGACCAAGGAATATATTCTATCTTGAGAAGCATTGACCAAAGGCAGTCACCCTCAAAGCCAATGCAGACTAAATCTTTCCTGACATAGTATATTCTTCTCTAAGAATAGAGAAGATATGTATCCGTCACTCTTATAGTTTGAAAACCTAAACATAAAAGTAATCTGCTTTTGACATGTAATTTTATATAATACATATGAACAAATGTTACAGCTAAGGAATTAAATCCCTAAAAAATACCAATTAGCCACTCATTAAGTCAAAACTTTAATTTGTGATCAATTAGCAAGCTATATGAATTAAGGTTTTTTTGTGATCTAGCAAGAACTTTTTCTGTGGTCTATCAAGGAGACAGCTGTTCACATGGAAGGATACCTATGGGGCAGGGGATGGTCAAGAGACCTAGATTCTGGTCCTAACTGCTTTGCCTTAGAGAGATTAATTCTGCTCTCTAAGCCTCAGTTTCCTCTGAAGATGTTGGACCAAATAATCTCTAAGGTCCTTTGAAACTGACTCCTTGATTCCATGACTCACTGAATGTTTTTCTGCAAAGATAAGTCCAATCAATGCCTTCTAAATTACACTAACAAAAAATTGCTCTTCATCACAGAAATACAAAGTAATCTTCAGTGATGTGCTTTCTAAATCATCACTTCCATTTGGTCTTAATATATTGCACTGCATTTTATAAGTGATATTGTGTGCAGAATCATATTCAAATATTACATGCAAATATATGTATAGAAAGAAAAGGCATTTTAAAAAGGCATGAGATTGAAGAGACATATTGAATGAGGCACTAAGCTTTAGAAAAATGATCTTTTACTGGATCAAGCCATACTCATTCCTTGCTGAATCCAACAGCCCCAAATCCCTTTTCTTATGTCTAGCTGTTAATTATTTTTCTCTCATCATCCTAGATTAACAACCATTGCACAGTTGGCTTAAGGATCCTTACACTCTGAGTTATAAAAAGTTGCATTTTTATAAACAAAAACCTAAATACTCAAGTTTTAAGGCACATGGAAACTGAATCCAGTCAGTGGGTGATTTGTGTAGCTTACAACCCAAATAGCAAAATGTTCCAATTCATTCTAACAGATATGTATAAGCACGAGTTAGTATGAGCCATGCCAGATATTAACAGATCATACATTTATTAGCTGTTTAACAGACTCTAAATTTTCCTAAGTGCCTAAAACCAATCCTGGTAGTCACTTAAGTGCAAAAGACTCACTTTAACTGGTTTGGTCTGAAGGAGTCAATCCTTTACTGCCTGTACAAGATCTGGACAGTTTTGCTCTTTGTCTTGTGATGAGCCAGCTGAGTGTGAAAAGCCTGTGAGTTATTGAGCAACCAGAGGCCCCTGCATTCCAAGGAGCAGTTTGGCTCTGGGAAAACTCTAACATTCTCTTTTCTGAAGTGTCCACCACTGCCCATCATTTGCAGAAAGACCTGGCCCTGCCTTTAGCAACTTCCCTATCTCCTTAGAGTAGACAAGAAAGAAACAGATCTGTGCACATTTTACAAAGTGCCTTCCTCTAGTCTGCTTTTTTTTTTTTTAAGTTTTCATTTTGCAAGGAAAAATGTGTTGATTAGAAAGTAGCATTTGCCTTGTAGGGATATATAGTGAGAGAGATTGATATACAGATATATGAATGAATGGAGAGATAAGAAGAAGCCAGAAAGGGCACAGCAAATGGTCTAAGGGCCAAGCAGCGAATGTTCAGTGAATGTTTATGGTTTTTTAATTGAATCAACACAGAGCTGTTGTGAATGTGTGACTTACTTTACCTGATAAGAAATTGAGTCTGACTGTGATTTTGGGATAAACCTGCCATCCTGTGATTTAAGACACTCCATACTAAAACACACTGCTACGTTTTTGAATGTCATTGGCTCGCATGCCTAAACCTGAAGAGAACAATGCATGCACATTGGAACTTTGCACACAGACAGAAAAATATAAATTACTTGGAATTACCATCCCAAGTGTTGCTAACATAGATGTGCCATTGACGAAAGTCTCATGTGTACTTGAGTGAACAAATTTCCTTTTCTACCTTTTTGTCTCAAGCCCAATAATGCTGTCACTAAGACAGTGAGTGAGCACTCAATGTCCAAGACTAAACCACATCACCACCACTAAGCAGGCTGTATGTCCCTCGATGAGTCTTTTAAACTCTGGCCATCAGGTTCCTTACTTGTTAAGCAGGTGAGTTGGCCTAAAAGGTTTCTAAGACCTCTGTCAGTTCTGTCTTTGATTCTCATTATCTAGGTAAATTCCAGGGTTTCAGGTCAAAGTCCTAGGTGCAGTGGAAGAAAGCCTTGCCGACATGCCCCTGGCCTGAAGCCATGAACATGTGAGACTGTGTAACAATATTTAACAGAAAAACAGAGATCTGTTCTTCCAAGTCAGATTGATATAACATCTTTACTTTTCCTTTTTCTTCCAAGCTTTACATAATTGTAGGGTTTTTACTCCTTCTCCAGAGCCTACTATTTTTTCCTAAGAGTAGCAACCATAGAATCCACAAGAAATGAAATTATTCATAAGCAATGACTTTGGCACTACAAAAGACTGAGTCAGAGTTTAAATCAGTTCCACAGATACCCAAGCCCAAGTTGAGGATCATAAGTATACCCCATTCAGAGATTTGCATGCTTAGAAACTAAGCCATGTTCATTAATGATTTAGTTAATTCAAAGGCCATTTATAAATCCATGCCCAGCCTGGGCAACATAGTAAGACCATGTCTTTACAAAAATTTTAAAAATTCCAGCCATAGTGACACATACCTGTAGTCCTAGCCACTTGGGAAGCTGAGGCCAGAGGATTGCTTGAGCCCAGGAGGTTGAGGCTGCAGTGAACCGTGATTGTGTCACTGCACTTCAGCCTTGAAGAGCAAGACCTTGTCTCAATAAATAAATAAATCCAAGCTATGTTGATGACTAGATACTGGAGGTCTTAAGGAAAAGCTTTAAAAATACAGAGTGATTGCTTCAGAGAAATCTTATTTATAATTATGATCTGAACTTATTCTATGATTAGCAAATATATCATCCAAAAATAAAACAGGAGTTCTCACCCCAGACTTTTATTTTGCAGGATGGTGACTTTTGGTCTGGGATCCTCATGACACCCATTTCAATAAAAGGAAAAGGACAGTAAAATAGGAGATAGGAAGTTTCCAGAGATTTGGGCATCTAAGGATTCCATGAAATGCTGAGACTAACCCACTAAATCCAATTTTTATTGGACATGGTAAATCTAAATCTGTTCAGTGTTTTGAGTTTATGTCTAAGAGAGGTACATAATTCACAACACTGTAGTGCTGGCAGCTGTTTTGTCCACACCAATTCCTTTGATTTAATGCTCTGATTTCAATTCAGAAGGTATTGAGACATGCAAAGTCTCAAAATAGGAAAAACCTATCCTGTTTATAAGATGTGGTCAATAAATAGACCACAGATAATCTTAATTAATTAACATTCTACTTGCTGCTGATTAAAAAGAAAAAACTTCAGCAACTGAAGTAGGACTATAAAAAACAAACTTTAATAGTTATGGTCAAATTATGCTTCACTTGGATAAAACTCAAAATGTAGTCTGAGGTTTTTTTGTGCACATTTTGCAAATCCTGGGGGAAACATGTTTTTATCATGTTATCTGAAAAACTATATGGCAAAGATACCTCTGAAAAACAATTTGTTTTATAAAATTCCTGAAAAGACAATTTTGAATTTTTAAAAGTAACTACCTCCCCTTTGTATCCTAATGTCCTTCCTTCAAAGCCGCTTATAGTTTAGAAATGAAAGGTGTCACGTCTCATGCTTTGATTGCTTTTCAGTGGAATATCTGATATATTTGCCAAGTGGCATTTCTGACTTTACAGTAACTGTTACATTATTTTGTACTATATTGCTTTATGTGGTTTGAAAATAGTATACACCACATTGAAATATGTAATCTTCATGTTGTGAAACTCATCACGTAAGACAAATGAAAATCATTACTTAATAACTTACAATCTATTTGTATGTAATTTCAACATGATTGTGTCTATGACTGTAAAACAAAACTGAAAAAATATGTAATATATTTCTGTTGAAACCGTGAATGTACTAATTTTTTTCTCAATCTTTGTCTAGAAGCAGGATTCTCTGTCATTCATTGTACAGCTGCTCTGGGGTATTACACATTTAAAGTACAATCCAACAGTTGTTTAAAAGTCAGCCTCTTGGCTCTGTTTCATGTGACTGCTGATGCCTCATGAGTGTTCTTTGCATAATGAGGCTTGCTTTTGTGTTTTATCATTCATTGTAAATAATTGAAGAGTCTCATTGGAAACCAAAGCAATCTAGAACCAGCCTGTTGGGTGACTGTGTCTTCTGTAAGCCATATTGAAGTGAAGCTATATGTAATAGCTTAAGATTCCATATTTTCAAAGCTAGCACTACCTCTGCTTTTCCTCTTTCCCTAGAAAATGCCAAGCAAAATTCCCCAACGCTAAGTGAGAAATTAGAAGTCACTGTTATAATTAAATTGCTGGGGTTGTTTTTGTTTTGGTTTTTTTTACACCTTCTAATTCACCGCTTTGCAGGGTTATGCAAGTTTCTGAATAACCATTCTTATATTTTTACATTTTATAAAAACTGGCTGCAAGAGGTTCCGAAAGAATGTGTCGTAAGTCATCAGATTAAAAACCCACAAAACAGTAGACTGCAGATTTTTTCCTAACTATAAGTCACCTTATAGTTGTCCAAAGCCGTGATAATGATATCTCTTACAAATTGACTTCTGTAACCCCCCTAAAAATAACTCTCTTCCTTATTTGGTTTTAGCCATCAAACATGGTATGATATGGGAAAAGTCAGCCATTTACAAGGAATAATCTTGTTTTGATTTTAAAAACTCATTTATATATGTAGTTATTGTAATGTCTGTTTTTTAGACTTAAACAATTGTAGAAAACTACAGTCATCTGATTTGTTATTTTGCATTTTTCATTCTGTTAATCTTTGCTTACGGCACATTGTGCTCTCTGTTTTCCATGGTTTTATTCATTTGTCTCCTTCTATTTTGAGGGAACAACATGGGTAGTTAAATCTTTGTCAATAGTATGGGAGATAACACTAGCTGCTATTATCGTAACATCTTCATTTTTACTGCATGCCAAAAACTGTGCTTGCCAAACAAAAATCTTAGACATCCCAATACAATATGTTCATTATATTCCTATTCACATCGTTATTGAAAATACCCAGCTCAATGCCTGGCTCAATAAATGTTTAATTCCCCTACCTACGCTTGCTCTATTTTTTTTTTTATTTGAAATGGAGATGAGCAAAATAATGTAAGCATGGCTGAAGCAATTTTTTGGACATTTCTTGCTGCTAAAAGATCTATAATCAGGACATTGTTTATGTAAGTTGGACCAAAAAAATCTTCCTCTTTATGTCCACCCTTCCATATGATTGCAAGACAAAATTTCCCTCCTTTACCTCATCCCTGTAACGTGGGAGGCTGAGAAAAATGAGGGGAGATGGAACCAGATACAAGGAGATTCAATAAGAGAAGCTTATTTAAATATTGTGAAATAAAGAAAGAGCCAAACCATTTTTTAAACCGGGGAATCCTTTTGAACAGTTATTATTTATCCATATTATTAACACCTTTTCTGACAAAATTCTTCAGCTGAAGTGTAAGTGGATAATCTTTTACTTTTAATGGATCTAGACCTAGAAAATGTCACTCACTGTTCATGTTTATACTGCAGAATTGTGAAATGGTGTGTGGATTTGCTTTACAAGTTCTTCTCTGCTTCCTCTTAATTCTCTAATGCCATGTCTTACAGAAGAATGAGAAATTTCTTTCTTACTTGAGTATCATGCTCTAAAAAACTTGGCTTCAGTCAAAGGAATGCTAGCTTTCCTGTGCTTATATTGAAGCCATCTGCCTTTAATTCTTCAACCCTCTTATATTTTTAAGGTACAAAATTTGAAATCTTAGTCACTAGACACAAGATGCATACAATTAATGATGAGCTGGAGGAGTAATATGTAGCTAATTTTTCAAAAGTATTGAATGTACTTTCCCAACAGAAAACAGAAATTAAATATTGCCGCATTTTGCCAGAATCCCATCTGAAACCTTAAGCTTGTCAGATTTCGTACAACCTACTAATCAAGTTTTATACATTCGAAATCTCCCTAGTTTTGGGGGACCTGGAAGATGCAACTTTCATTTCCATAGAAATTTGCAAATCTTGGGGTAAGGGAGCAGTGGGGGTACTAGGGAGAAGGGTAAGATATAGGATTATTGAAAAGTCCCCAAGAGGGACCTTCCTGACCAGAATATGCAGATAATTCCTGCTGGCTTTAACTTTGAAAGTTCCTCGAAACCATCCAGATGAAACTGAGCCTGTTTTTTGATATTGTCAGATGTATTCTACTTTGGAGGTTCCAACGCCTAAACTGGAATTCTTTTATTTACACCCTCTCCACCGTTCCCCACACCACCCCTCAATTCCTGCTGCCCCTGCTGATGCTAAGCATTTTTCTCTTGTTATGATCAGGTTCACATTAAAACAGATACTTACAAACTGACTTGAAGCAAAGATACTTTTATGAATGTGACAAAATATTTTCTTGAGAAAAGGAAAGAGGACATCATCAGTCAAATAAAACACCGTGTGGATGTTGATTGGTGAACACTGGTGTAAGAAAAGGAAGCTCAGGAATTTTTATTACTGTATTTATAAACGAGTTTGAAAGAATTTGTAAATGCCACTGGTACATTTTTAAGGTGACACATTTGCTTCTTATAAAGTTATTAAAAATTACAGGGTAAGCTTAAATGACATTCGCCAGTAGTTTTACTTTACGTAATCAATACTGATATCGTTGCTGAACTATGTAACTTTATGATGCATTTTGCAGTCCCTTTTCAGAGAAAATGCTTTTGCAATGGTAGCAATGTTCAGTTTAAATTGACTTAATAAATTATTATCTGAGCAATGATTTTTGGAGGGTCTTTATATATGTATGTGAAACATGCATTACATGAAAAATATAACTTGAGACAGGTTTTTTTTCTTTGCCACAATGAAACGCATCAGAATATATTTTATAAAAGAAGGGTGAGGAAACTGCATTTTAACTCTGGAAATAGAGTATACAGACACATGCTGAAACATTTATCTTAGGACACTCAACTGTGGCATTTTTTTTCAGGCACTAATTTCTGTGCTCATCTTTGAACACCTCTGGTTTTATTTTCCTACTTATTCTAAATCAAAACAGAATACACATTCCCCCAGGCTTTATTCATCTGCCAGACTCGAGCCTTGAAAATACAAGCATGCTTGGAAGCACTCAGAAGTTTCTTTGAACTTCTCCTGGGAACGACCAAGAGCAATCAAAAGGAGAGTTTCCAAACCTGAGATTCAATCAATTTTCCCAAGTTTCCAAACCTGAGATATAATCAACTTTCATTTGACAAGCCACAAATCTCAGGGCCAAAGGTACATAGTTTCTTTTGATCTTGTTTTCCTGCCTCGAATTATCCAATATCTTTGCTTAATACCAGCCGTGATTTCATCATCCATTTGTGATCTTCTCTTTATTGCATAAAATATTTCACAAGTACTTGAAAAATATATAGAAAAACATAACAAAGGTCATTTACTCACATCCAAATCTCATAAATTTTCATATTTTGGCTTGTGCTTTTTTTATTTAACACAGATTTATTTAACATTACAAATACCTTCATTTACATCCCTCAACAACCAAATTATCTCTCTTTTCAACAGTAACCACAATCCTAAAATTATTATATATCCTTCCCTGCTATTTTTACAATGCATGTATCTCATATCTATCTATCTCTAAGTAATATGAGCAATTACTTTGGTATTTATGAGTTTTCATAAAAAATAGCAGATAGCATTATGCACTTCGATTTTTTTCATTCAGCTTTAGGCTTTTGAGATACAAACAGCTCCAGCTGCTCAGCTGTATACATCTGTACAATCTACTAAGCTCCCTATTTATCAACATTTAATTTTTACTGCTTTATGCATACAACTGCTGTAGTTGTATACATACAATGTATTAGTCTCCCTGTTTATCAACATTTAATTTTCATTGCCATAAATGACAAAAGTTGTGTATATACCACTGTTATAGTTGTATACATACATACAATTTATTAATCTCCCTATTTAGCAGCATTTGATTTCCATTGTCATAAATGACGATGCAATGAGCATTCCTATTCCAGTCCCATTGGAATATGTGCAAAAGTTTCTCCAAAATATACACCTAGAGGTATTTATGGTTGGGTCATATAAAATGCGTATCTTAACATTTCCTAGATTCTGACAAATTGCTTCCTCCTAAAGTATTTTTACTGATGTGTACCCTTGCCATCAGTATAGTGCTTTCCATTTCTCTTCATCTTCATTATTGCCTGATGCTTTCAGATGTTTTAATTTTTGACAATTCAGTGAGCGTAAAATGAGGTATTGTTATTTTCCTTTTTATTTCCCTCATGAACCCATTTGTATCTGAGTAACTCAGGCTTTTCCTGCTTTTCTTTTATGCTATGGTCAGATTTATTGTGATTTTTTTTTCTTTCTTCTTTATGCTTTTCTAGGCTTGAGTTTGTTTAATAAAAGTACATATTATGGTAATCAGAATAATTTATTTTACTTTTAAATAAAGGAAGTATAACCTCTCACTTTTCCTCTAGAAGTTCTTCAAAAGTGCATTTGAAGAAAAACAGTGCTGTTTTTCTTCCCCACTCTAGGTGACCCCTTGATATTGGGTGCCTCTCACCATAAAAATCTCTAATCTTACAGCCCAAGAAAAAGCTCAAGGAAGACTATAGCCTGAGGTGTTCACAAAGGCAAAATTGACCACAGTCCAGTAGAGCCAAGGAGCATGTACCAGACTGCAGGACCTCAGCATCTTCTCCCCTCTGTCCAACCACAGGACAGGCCGTGCACCCCAGGGAGACACTGTGTGTCCTCTGGCCTCACTGACTTGGATTGCTCCTGCAGCAGGGGACCAGCCAGCTCATACACCCACTCCATACTACCCCCAAAGCAGAATTGACTAGGAGCTGGAAACCTACACAAAAAGAAACAATGACTTTGAATGTAGCAAACTCCCTGTGCTTACCTAGTGCCTTCACCTCCTACGGGCATTAGGAGTGAAAGGTGTTTTGCAGGTGTTTGTGAAGGATGTGGCCAAGTCAGTTGTCTCCCCTCCAGAGTGATCCAAGGTAATGATATCTATCCATCCCCGCTGCCTTGACCCCCTGGTTGCAATTGCCTTTGTCACTGTCCCCCTTTGGCACTGCCATGTAAAGTGTGTGGTCCTCCATTGTGAAGCAGTGAGAAACCTAGAAGAGATGGACTTTTCACAACCTGGTTGCATCTTAAAAACACGGCTCTAACTGAAAAGAAAAAAAGACACGTATTACATATATTTACATAAATTAAATCTGCAGTCACCCTAAACAATACACACTTTACAAGAATGTGTGCCAACCAAAGGATATATATATATATAAACGTGCTAAATAGTTGCTTATGGGGATTGACGGTGGGGGGAGGCCAGAGTGGGGTAAATGGGAATTTAAGAAATTAAAAATTTAATGAAAAGAAGGCACGCTAACACCTCAGCTCTTAACCTTTTGCCTTCTTCAGACACCTAAGAGGATTCACAGCTGTCCTGAACCTTACATAGCTATTTGGTAACTCTCCGTTTTTCCTTGGAGTGGCTCTTTCCCCATTGTTTTCTCCTCTCTTTCTCTAAGACCCCCAAAACCAATTCATTTATTCATTCACTTCATGCATATCCTCCTTCTTGCTCTCTTAGTCACATCCCTCGTTTCTCAATCTCTGACCCCTTCGACCATATCTTGATCCTTCTCCGCCCCCCAGGACCACCCTCCTGCAGAGAAAAGCTCACCCGTATGAACCGCTGATGGAAAACTGAACAGAACTAGTCAGATGACCTTGGCTTTACCTGCCTGCTTTCTTTCCTTTGCCCTTCTCCTCTCTTCTTTTATTTTCTCTCTTCTTCTCTCTCTCCCTCCTACTTTCACTCTCTCTTTGTTTCTCTTTTCCTCACTCTCTTTCTCTCCTCCTTGAAGGCACTGTTATAAAAATAGACAGCTCTGAGTTTCGCCTGAAGCCATGGGCTGTCACCACTCAGGATTCCCCTTGTAGAGCCACCTCCACATCTTAATCTCAAAGTCCAGCAGGACAGCAGGCAGTTAGAGCCTGACCTCTAACCTGCTTCCACAGGGGCTGGCTTCCTGAATGGGAGAGATGACTCTGGTCTGGAGACATTTGCCGAGACCCTTGTGCCTGGTCACCTCCACTCACAGGATCCTCGAGATGTGCCGTTTCCTGAGCTGTAAGTGGAAACTAGGGGGACACGGGTCAGCAGAGGGACAGCTAGAGGGGAAGGCTTGAGCTCTGGAGGCTGCTGCCTGGGATTCTGGAATGTTAGACCTGAATAAGGTCTTAGAGATGAGGCATGTAACACAGAGGTTCTCGCCCTGAGTCAATACCCCATTTTCATAGTCAATATTTTGTAATACTCCCTTTTTTTTTAAATGAAATTAATGGATAATGAAACCCGACTATACACAATTTCAACATGACATGCTATTTCAGCTGCAATATTTTTAAAAACCAAAAGAAGGTAATTCAAAAGAAAGTGTGACTTCAATTTACAGATGTTCAGGGATGATTTCTACTTTTTCTTTTTTGAGACAGGGCCTCCCTCTATCACCCAGGTTGGAGTACAGAGATGTGGTTATGGTTCACTGCAGCCTCAACCTCCCAGGCTCAAACAATCCTCCCACCTCAGCCTCCTAAGTAGCTGGAACTATAGGCACACGCTACCACACCTAGCTATTTTTCTTTTTTAACTTTTTGTAGACATGGGGTTTTACTATGTTGCCCAAGCTGATCTCGCACTCCAAGGCTCAACCAATCCTCTCATTTCAGCCTTTCAAAGTGGCTCGGATTGCATGCCTGAGCCATTGCACCTGACCAGGATGATTATTTTAAAGTCATAAAGCATCCTCATGAATTTTCACCATGCCTCTAGGAAGTGGGACAACTCTCTCAATTACCAACAAGTGCTGTGATTTACCCAGCATCATCCCAGCCAGGACTTGACCCCGGGCCCTGCCCATCCACTCAGACTCTCCTCTCTGCAGCAGAAACAGAAAACATAAGGAGATGTGGGGTAACCAGACATTGGTGGCTTTATGAGTTATATCCTCTGTGCTTGTGATTTTTCACATGGATCTTGTTTCACAAGAGCCCCACCACCTCCCCGGCAAATTCCTTCGTGCAAACATGAGATTAAGCAGCTGTCTGCACATGTATGTGCCCGTTCTTCACAGGCCCTTAACAGGTGTAGGGGACCTTTTCCATTTCCCATCATGACCAACTTTGTCTTCATTTTCTCCTCATCTTTCCCTTTCACCCTCCTTCCTTCCCTTCCTCTTTGATTTCTTCCCCCTGAAAATTGCAATCTTTTGAAATTTGATATATGCATGGTGCTTTAAATGCATTATCTCCTTTTATCTTCAGCCAAACTTGTTAGTGAGTACTACTACCTCAATCCACAGATGGGGAGACAACAGAATAAGGAATATATAAGAAATGTGGTCAAAGGCAGAAACATGGAAGTGATAACTTGGGATTCAAAGCCAGGTCTATCTGACTCCAAACTCGGAGAGACTCTACCAGGCCCGCTGTAACCTCCCCTACCCTTCCAATCCTGTTTGGACTTCTCTTTTCCCTTATCATGAGTTTTTTACCAGAACATCAGTTAACTCCAATATTTTCTTAGAAGCAGGTAAAATTATACCCAGCCTTACACTCAGTGAGGAGGAAATTATGCTGAAAGTATCAGCTGCTGACCTAGCAATAGAAATGCCCTAGGCTGCCCCCCTCCCCTTTCCTACCCCAACCTCTGAGCATTG